AGAACTTTGCATTCATTTCTTTGCGAATTTTTATATTAATATAATTTATCAATATATCTATTATCGGCAATGAAGATAATTTCAAATTATAATGGAAATATCTTAAGCGTTCTTCACTTTTTTCACTGCGCTCGTAGTTAAAGTTTTTAAATGGAAATTCTTGAGAAAATGTGTGTGTAAACGTTAAATTAGAATTAAAAAGTATTTTAATTCAGTGGAACCTTCATCGTATATTTAATCTGTTGAGAATTTATGCAAGCCAAAAATGTTGATTACACTAGATTTGAAATGCATTTGACATTTATTTAATTAATTTGCACGGAATTTACATTGAGAAATAAAATGCTGATATTCAATCATAATGATTGAAGAGGCGGTCGAACAAGCCTAATATTTCAAGACAATAACTTTGATAAATAACAGTGACTCAATCATTTTCCTGTGAAATCAGTAAATCCTCAGTGTACGTAACCTGAAAGATGCGCACATCTGTGCGTGTGTTATATATTTTATATATATATATATATATATATATATATATATATATATATATATATATATATATATATATATATATATTATATATGATATATATATTTATATATATATATATATATTATATATATTATATTTTATATATATAATATATATATATATATATATATATATAATATTTATATATGTATGTATATAGGGTTAGAGCGTCGTGAATTATCGCTCACCATGAGGCGGGGTAAAACAACACGGGATCGATCCCGCGGCTAATCTCAGTGTTGTTATTGATTAAATACCACTCGTTCGTGGTGACAATACTATATATACTGCTCGTGGAGGCTAGTACACCAGACGAGAAGTAGAATGAAATTAGCTCTGAGGCACCCACACCATCCTATGTACTCGGATCACGGTACAATATCTAGTTCTGCTGGGTGCGTGATTCTTGTAGAATTGTATGGTCCAGTGGGTTAGAGCGTCGTGAATTTTCGCTCACTATGAGGCAGGCTAAATCAACACGTGTTCAATGCCCCAGCTAATCGCAGTGTTAATGATTATCACACATTAATATTATATAGAAAAGTCCATTACATTTATTACATGTAAAGAATAATACGATTGAATTAGAGTGTCGACGAAGCCTCATATGTGGTGAATTTCATTGTTGATAAATATATATTCACGTTTGTGGTAGTTGAAATAGAAATAGTGGATTAATAGTATATTTATGGGGAAGCGCTGAACCCATAAGGGACAAAAGTAATGCCTTGGTAATGTGAGGTAATACGGTTAGAATGAGAGAGGGGAGGGGTTGTTGTAATGCTGTAATGGAAGGTTTTGTTTCTTATGTTGTAAGGGAGAGTAGTAATCTTATGCTGTAAGGGAGAGAACTCGTCTTATGATGTAAGGGAGAGTGCTTTTCTTATGATGTAAGGGAGAGTGCTTTTCTTATGATGTAAGGGAAAGTACTCTTCTTATGCTGTAAGAGAGGGAATACGTCTTATGCTGCAATGGAGTGTGCTTGTCATATGCTGTAAGGTGAGTACTCTTATGCTGTAAGGAAGAGCGCTGTTCTTATGCTGTAAAAGGGAATGCTGTTTGTCAGCATCTACGTAAAAAGTGAAAAATAATACTAAGTAAACACTGGAATAAGTTTGATTAAGGCCATCATTTTCCTCGGATATAATAACCTACTGACGACGATAGAGAAGTTAAGATACGTTGCTGATGAAATTTTTATTTCGGACATTCTCTATATAGAGCTTTATGAACTTAATTAACTTATGACTTGAAGCTCGGGTTTTGTTGTATGTGTATAGCACCTATACATTGCTGTCAGGGGAGAGACTCTGACGTAGATCAGTCAGGAAATGTGTTAAGGTGAATTAATGTAGCTTCATCAGGTCACCGGGAATATTTGCTAGGAATTTGTTTGAAATAATCATTTTTTTTCTATCCACAGAATTTACATATATGTCTATTAATATATTAGCATAGTTTTAAAACAATCTCTTAGTCTAGTTGGAATTTTTAATATCTAGGAAGATCTAGATTTTTTTTTTTTGCCGTTACTTTAGAAATTAGAATTCAAATAGGTGGAGCGTATACGTAGGACGGATCGAGCCTCCACCACTCCTTGTGATGAATGATACACACGATTTTAGCAGTTACACAAATTTGATAATATTGTTATTCATAACTGTGGGCTTTCAACATGTACTCAAGTGTCCCCCATTTCTGTATTAACAATGTATCACGTTGAAATAAATTAGTATTTGTAATCGTATAAACCAATGTTACACGTGTAGTTAGGGAAAGGCCCTTTAATGCTGGTGAAGGGCTTTTTATCCAAGCAGTTGGAACTACTCTCTCTTTTTTAAAATGGATAAAACTTAATTATCTCCCATTGTTCAGATGCTGTATGATCCTCATGATAATATAAATAATTCATAAATGTGTTTTGTACACTTTTAATATATTTGTCTATGTTGTCGTCTCCTGCCAG